AGTTAAGTGAGTTTAGTTTTGAGGAACCTGTGGCAACAATCTTCAGTTTTTTCACCACTTCCAACAATTAAAGAGTTCTTACCATGATGTTCTGCCAGATCCTCGAATTTGTCAGTTTGGTGTGTCACATGATTGCTTACACCACTGTCAAAGTACCAATCATAATCTTGAAGAGGGATTTGTGAGGCTAGGAAGGCATTGTGTGTCCCTTTTCTATCACTGACTGCTGAATAAGACTTATCAAATATCGCTGACAAGCTAAAACTTGCAGCCAGCCCCATTTCCAACTCAGATCTAATCATTCAAACTCTGAATGGTTTAGATTCTGAATACAACCCTATGGTGGTCAAGCTATCTGATCAAACTAGTCTCACTTGGGTTGATCTTCAGGCTCAATTGTTGACCTTTGAGAGTAGACTTGATCAACTGAATAGACTCACCAACCTAACCCTTAATGTTTCAGTAAATGTTGCCAACAAAACTGATTACAGAGGCAACAAATTCAACACAAACAACAACTGGAGAAGTTCCAACAGCAACTAGAGAGGCTCTAACTTCAGAGGTTGGAGAGGAGGCAGAGGAAGAGGAAGAATGTCTAAGCCAACATGTCATGTTTGCGTGAATCAGGCACAATACGACGCTTAAATAAGTTGTCTCTAGATGGAAGATGATTCAACAATAATCTCCAACCAAAGAAAAGAGACTTACTTGAAATTTTCGTTTTCCACAATGATCCTAAAGCCACGAAAACGTCATCAACAATGATAATATTGTTGACACAAAAGGGAGGTATCAAATGGTAACAATTCTTCCCCGAAAACCTCTCGGACAACTGCCACCAAACAAACTGATCCTGTTGTACCGGGACCGATTGATCAACAAGAAGAAGTAACAATAAATCGGCCAAGGAAGCCGCTGCGGGTTGGTGCGAAAACCGGCAGTAAAAGAGACTCTTCACATCCACACTGAATCACATCAAAAACCGTTATCAACAACCCTCGAATTAACCAAATCAGCTAGAGAAAATAGCTCGGGAAAAACCAAGTGTAATGGTGTCGAACCCAACCACTTATCATTCCAAAAGTTAAGGATTTCGCTATTCCCTAACTTGCACGAAATAGAATTGAAAAACCAATTCCCCTCTGAGCTAGCCGGGGAAGAACTAATTGCACACAAACCTTTCCACCAAAGAGATACCTTAGATCATAATCGGAGATTAGCATCATCAAGCATTTTCCTCTTAATGTCATCGTATCTGCAAGAAAGTAAGTTAGTCCAAAAAACATTTCCATCGTTCAAAATTCTCCACTTCCACTTACAAAGAAGAGCAAGATTGAATCTTCCACAATGTTTAATGCCTAGACCTCCTTCTTCTTTAGGTCGACAAATGGAATTCCACTCCACCCAATTGATCTTCCTCTTCTCTTCCACACCTCCCCAAAGAAAAACTCGTTGTAGCATAATTATTTCTTTCACAATTACTTTCGGCTCCTTATAGAATGAAAAGAAATAAATTGGAATACTCGTTAAAATAGAATTCATAAGCACCACTCTCCCTCCCATCGTCAACTTCTTATTTTTCCAACTCGAAAGCCTTTTCCTCATCTTCGACACAATATGCCTCTGCACCTCTTTCCGCCTCGGGTTTACCCCAACCGAAATACCAATAAAGGAGAAAGAAGGAACTCCAATGTCATAATTAAGAAAAGTAGTGCGGCTTTGAGAAAATCCAAATTACAAATTGATCCCCACAAGTCTACTTTTAGATAAGTTAATTCGCAAGCACAAAACCAACGTGAAACCTCTAAGAGGAGCTTTAATACTGCATAAGTTTCCCTAAGATCCTTCACCTATCAACATGGTATCATCCGTAAATTGAAGAATCTCAAAATGAACCTCATTATTCAAGTGAAGCCCATCAAGTTCTCCTACCGAAACTGCCTTATTCAGCATAGCTGCAAGACCCTCCTCTACCTAAAAAAAAGAAAAGGAGAGAGAGGATCTCCAGGGCGGAGTCCTCTAGAAACCTCAAAGTCTTTGGTCGGGCTTCCATTAACTAAGATTGATAAAGAGATAGTGAAAATCAACGCATCTATCCACCTTCTCCATTTAGATCCAAAATCAATCTTTTTGAATAAGGACCGCAAGAAATTCCACAAAACACAATCATAAGCCTTTTCAAAATCTACTATCATTAACAAACAACTCTTTTTATTTCACTTTGCAAAGTCCGTCACATCATTTAACACCAACACCCCATCTAACATGTTTCTACCCGATAAAAAAGCAGATTGACAAGGAGAAATAAGCTTACCAATGACCATCTTCAATATACCCGAAAGTAACTTTGCCAAGAAACGATACAAATTACTAATGAGACAAATTGGTCAGTAATCATCCAAAGAATTCAGACTCTCCGATTTAATCAAAGCAAGAAAAATTGTTGTTACCGTTTTAGGCACCACAATATTCGAATGAAACTCATTGGCAAATCTGACAACATCATCCTTGACCACCACCCAAGTTTTGAAGAATCCAAAATTGAAACCATCCGGACCTGGACTCTTATCTCCCTCAAAAAAACCACACCATATCTGTAATCTCCTCTTTCAAAAATGGAGCCTCTAAGATAACATTTTATGCCTCTGAAAGTCGAGCAAAATCCACCTACACCAAAGTTGGCCTATTGGGCCAAGCTTCCCAAAATCGACAATCAAAGTGATTCAAGATCCAATTTTGAATCCTTCTACAACCTCAATCCACCCATTCGAAGAATGGTAACCCAAAATGGAATTCCTCCTAAACATTGATTTCATAGCCTTATGAAAGAAACACAAATTCACATCACCATCCGGAAGCCACAAACTTCTAGCCTTTTGACGAAGAAAGCTCTCTTTTTTCAAGATAGATGTCCACAATTTCTTTGAAGCTACACCTCTCTTTAAAACTAGATCATCAACATCAACCAGACCATCACAAGAAGCCACAAAATCAAGATCATTCAAGTCTTTAATTGCTTTGCCCGCCTCTATAAATTAAGGCGGCCAAAAACCAAAATATTCCAGGATCTCAACCCTCATTTCAAACCTCTAATATTTTCCTTCAAAACATAAGAAACATTACCTTCAACTGTCATATTTTTCCACGTGTTTTCAACAAAAGGGAAGAACTCTTCATGTTTAGACCAACCTGAAAAAATTTAAACGATTTCGGCCCCCAATTAGTTACACGACCTTTGATCCAAATCAGACATTGATCAGACAGATCTATATCTCCAATAACATGACCCACCACCTTCTAAAGATCTAGCAAGTTCTCTGATAACAAGTCTATCAATGCGACTCATGGATTTACCATCCAAACTAAACCAAGAAAATCTTCCACCACTGAATGGAGGATTAACCAACTCTGAATTATCAATAAAATCTCCAAAATCCTCCATCTCCGAATGATTAATGGAAACCAATCTACTCTTCCTCTCCCCATTCAACTTAACAACATTAAAATCCCCCCAAACACCACTCACCTTCAACAAACTTGACCTTACAATTAATAATTCCTTTCCACAACAATTTTTTATTACGAACGAAACAAGACAGATAAATGTTAATAATATACAAGTTAATTTCCTTCCAAACCACATTGATACCTACAAAACCCTCTCCTATAAAATTGGAATTGAGATCAAACAAACCTTATCTCCAAATAATTAATAATCCTCTCGATCTGATGCATTCACTTTTTGATGTCCATTGCACATCAGAACCACCCCAAAGCTCCACAACAACCTGATCAGACATAACTTGCATTTTAGTTTCCTGAAATAAACAAATTTCAAAACCTTCCTTTCTAATTAATTGACTAATACGCTTCCTTTTGGCTAAACATCCATTCCCTCGAATAATATAGGACAAAATATTCATTAAGAACTGATGATCTTGGCATCATTCATACTCTTGTGAATTTTGGCATTCTCATCTCTATTTTCCAAATCCTTAATAGCACGGATGGCAACCTGTTCCGCGTCACCACCATCCAACCCAAAAGTTGTGACCTTTGCCCAAATTTTGGACGCAACATCATCCTTCTCCTTAGCCCAAAACCTACGGTTCCCGTGCATTAAACCCGAATCTGAAATTTCATCACAAGCTGGTTCCCCCGAATAACAATATGCCGCCTTATACCGCTTAGACCACCCAGAAAAAAAAAAAGAAGAATCTATAGAATCACTCTTAGAACCCCTTGCGGATGTGTGTCACAAAGGACATAAATAAGATTGGGAAATTTCAATATTCTGTTTAGAATGAACAACCCGACTAACCTCCTTCAGAATACAATTTCACGCCCAAAGGAGTAACATTTATTCCGAAGAAACCTTCCATATCAAAGACATCTTAGAGATTATACGATAAACCCACCTGCCGCAACTCCCCCATAAACGCACCACTGAATCTTTGCCAAATAACTTCTTCCTCTATATTGTAAGCAAGCTGAATGTTCTTAGATTTATGAATGGCGCCAAACTGACACACCTCCAAAGAAGTCGCCGCTGCGTAGGATCTGGAATCAGTAAAATATCTGAAGTTCTCCACTGTTATGAACAAGGGCAAATCAGTCATTTCAGTAACTAATTCTTGTGATGAGGAGGGACACTTGGCACACGATCCTAATTTCCAGGAGCAAGGACGTGGAATGAGAGCCAAAATTCCTAACAGAAAGTATGTGGGTGACTTTGTTAAATAGTGGAGGAATCACCAATGATTGGGGGGTGGAATTAATTGGTGGAAACCTGACTCTCTTCTTTTCCTGAAGCTTTAACTTTTATAGATCCTTCTTTTAATTCCATGTATTCATTACTACAATTGGCTTAGCCATTTCCATTGGTATCTTAAATTGTATTTGTACTGTTGCATTGTTGAGTACAAATTTCACTCCATTTATAATTTCTGCATTTTTTCTGCCACTGCACCTTACATTTGGCGCTTTCATTGAGTTGAACCATGGTTGACAACACACGTATGAAGTGCATGGAGAACTCACTTACTGAGATGAACAAAATGCTACAAAAGTTCCTAGAAGATGCAGATCATCGTCATGACGAGTATACCCACCACCGTCATCTGGATCAAGCGAGATTTGAGCGTGTTGAATCTCAACTCAGCAACCTTCATCTAACTCAGTCCTCTGGCAGCAAGGGCTCATCACCGTCGTCATCACCGGTTGCTCAACCCTTTCAGGTGCGTAATATCAAACTATATTTCCCTCGCTTTGACGGTTCCGACGTGCTTAATTGGATTTTCAAGGCGGAACAGTTTTTCGATTATTATGCTACACCCGATAATCAGCGTCTCATCATCGCTGCCGTCCATATGGAAAAGGATGTGGTACCGTGGTTTCAGATGGTTTCCATAAATCAACCGTTTCAATCTTGGACCCTATTCACACGGGCCTTGGAATTGGAATTTGGCCCATCTCCATATGAGTCACCCAGGCCCACTTTGTTTAAACTTACGCAAACCTCCTCAGTTGCTGATTACTACACCTCCTTCACCGTGTTAGCCAACCGTTCTCAAGGATTAAGCCTAGAAGCCACCCTTGATTGTTTCATCAGTGGTCTTCAGAAAGATATCAAGCGCGATGTAATCGCTCAAATTCCACATTCTTTATCTAGAGCTTACGCGCTGGCCCGACTCTTTGAGGACAAATACTCACCATCACCCAACACTAAATTTCCCAATTCTTCGTCCTCAAAACCCTATCATTTCCCAGCCACAAACACCACCCCAAAAGCTAACCCACAACCACCATTACTCCCAAATCCCAAACCAATTTCAACACCGCAGAAAAGCCACCCCGTCAAAAATATCACCAAGGCCGAAATGCAACTCCGCCGTGAAAAAGGGCTTTGTTATTATTGTGATGAGAAATTCTCTATTACCCACAAATGCCCCAACCGTCATTATTTTATTCTTCAAATGGATGATGATGACAACGATCCACCACCTGACACCATTGAGCACACCATACTTGATTCAACCTCCCTGGGGGACTCTGAGCATCACCTCTCTCTGAACGCTTTAAATGGTTCTCACGGGATGGGAACCATGCGCTTTCAAGGTCAAATACAAGGCATTGCGGTGACTGTTCTCTTAGACAGTGAGAGTTCAGATAATTTTTTGCAGCCTAGGATTGCCCAATCCTTACAACTACCAATTCAGTCCAACGCTCAGTTTCAAGTATTGGTTGGTAATGGCCATTCTTTGACTACTATGGGCTATATAGCTGATTTACCAGTAGCCATTCAGGGTAATACCCTCCATGTTCCTGCTTATTTGTTGCCGATTTCAGGTGCAGACTTAGTCTTGGGTGAACCATGGTTAAAAACCTTGGGACCATATATTGCGGATTACAATGGTTTATCCTTGAAGTTTTATGTCAAGGACACTTTTGTTACACTGTATGGAGACAAACCTAGTGGTCCAAGCCTAGCCCAGTTCCATCACATCAAATGACTGAACCACACTCATGCTATTGATGTAGCTTTTACCTTGCAATTTGATAAAGTTATACCAGTAAATACTACTTTAGATCATGATTTGCACCCTGACATTACAACACTTTTACACAATTATAATGATGTGTTTGTTGAACCTAAGTCATTACCACCAGCTAGGTTCCATGATCATGCTATTACCCTTGTGGAAGGTAGTAACCCAGTCAAGGTACGACCCTATAGGTACCCCCATAGTCAGAAAGAAAAAATAGAGACCATGGTTAAAGACATGTTGGCACAAGTTATTATCCAACATAGCAACAACCCTTTTGATTCCCCTATTTTTCTAGTTAAAAAAAAAAGATGGATCATGGCGATTTTGTACTGATTATCGCGCTCTCAACTCTATCATTGTCAAGGACAGTTTTCCCATCCCTACGGTTGATGAACTATTAGATGAACTCCACGATGCTCATTATTTTTCAAAGTTGGATCTTCGCTCAGGGTACCATCAAATACTAGTAAGACCAGAAGATAGACCAAAAACAACTTTTAGAACACACCAAGGCTTGTATGAATGGCTAGTCATGCCTTTTGGACTCTCAAACGCTCCTGCCTCATTTCAGTGCCTCATGAATCATGTGTTCCAGGCCCAACTAAGAAAGACAATTATGGTGTTTTTTGATGATATTTTGGTATACATCCCCTCTTGGTCTTCTCATTTAGCTCACTTGTCTGAATTACTCCAGCTCCTGCGTCAGCATTCCTTATTTGCTAAGAGGTCCAAATGTTGTTTCGGTTTTACTGAGATTGATTACTTGGGTCACATTATTTCTCATAAAGGTGTCCATATGGATAAAGATAAGGTAAAGGCTGTACTGGATTGGCCTATTCCAATAAATTTGAAGCAACTAAGAGGATTTTTGGGGCTGTCGGGTTATTATAGAAGATTTATCAGAAACTATGCCACCATTGCTGCCCCTTTGACTGCTTTATTGAAGAAGGATGCCTTTGAGTGGACTCCTTCTGCCACTGATGCCTTCCTTGCGTTGCAGCAAGCCATCACGGTCGCCCCTGTTTTAGCACTACCAGATTTTTCCAAACCTTTTGTTGTACCCCAAAATTTGCCCTCCCATTTCTCATTGATTTCTCATCACAAAGCCCTTGGAGCTCAAGATCTAGTTAGGGTTTCATCTGCTCAAGACTTCTCCTTGCACTGTTGACCCAAATTAGGGTTTGTGCTTGCACAAAGATGTTTTGACCTAAAATGCCTAAGATGACCTTCTTGCTTCATTTTGGACTCCCAAGTTTATCCATGTCAAGTTTCAAGTCTTGATTCCAAGTTTTGCCCAGTCAATTGGACAATTGACCTAGAAATCAGCTGTATTGGGGAAAAAGTCAACTGTGGCCAATTGACAGTCAAACCTCATGAAAATTGACCCACATCAACATTATGAACTCCTATGAACCATTTGATCAAGTTTGGATCACAATTCCCCAAGAAACTTGACCAGATCACCAAAAGGGCAAAATGGTCATTTTTAGGGTTTTGACTGCACAAAGGCAATTTTTGACTGTTTGACCTAGCCAATGGCAAACCAAGTTCACTTATGGACTCAAGGACCCCATGGATTTATATTAACATGCTCAACAAGTTCAAAAGATCCCAAGTATACAAGATTGACAGTTGAATTTCCCAGTCAATTGATCAATTTTGACTGTATACTGAAAAATCAAACTTTGACTTTTTGGTCAAAATCAAGAGTCAAGATTCATTTTTCATCAAAATATGCCAAATCATGAAACTTGTTCACTAAGAAATCAAAAAATGCAAATTAGGATTTGAAATGGAAATTTTTCATAACTTAGAATTTTTCTAAGTTATGGAAAACCCTAATTTTTTCCCAACTTTGCCCCACTTTCTCACCAAGATTCATTTGGATTCAAACAAAAGTCAAAACATGAAAGTTGTAGCTTGTTGCATAATCTACAACTTTGATTCACAAAGTTTTCCCAAATGAGGCTTGTATCTCAAGTTACAATTTTTTGAATAAGGGTACTAAACCATTCTTAACTTAGTGAAATTTTAACCTATTTCGACAAGGTTTTCTACCCAACTTCAAGGCCATTTTCCATACACTTCCACTTGGAATTTCAATTTGTATTTCAAAGATGGATTGTAGTACACATTCCAAGCTTTTCAAAATGTCCAAGAACTACTCAAACAACCTCATAACTTGAGAGAATCGAATTTCACAATTTGGCAAAAACTCACTTTTGAATTGGCTATTTTCCATGTTCATAATTTGTGCAAACTTCTCAAACCAGCATGCCCCTTGATTACAGGTCCTTAAACCATCCAACACTCAATAACTTAATGCATTTTCATTGTGCTAAGACCATGTTCTATGGATTCAAGCATTGCATAGTAGATTAATCCCAAAAAAGATAAAACACTTTATCCATTTTTGAAAAAGCAAGCTTTATGTCCAATTGAAAATCCAAGAAGTACAGTTAAGATCTCTTTGGCACAAGTTTAGGGATTAATCACACTGATCAAGACTGAGTTATGCAGCATGTTATGTGGGCCTCCAGCTGCCTAAACACCAACTTGACCTTTTTGCTTAAGTGCTAAGAAACATTGCATTGTAGAACACAACTTTGATATCAGCTTGCAAACCCTTAAGCAAACTTTTGAAACACATTCAAGACATCCCAACTGAGCTAGCACACGACCATAAGACCTCCAATACCTCTCCATTTCCATAATCACTCTCAAACTGCAGAAACAGGGCAAGGCCTGCAGATTGAACACCATCTCTCATTCCTTGCATGATTTCTTGACCAAAGCTTATCAAACACATTCCCTAGCATCAATGTAAGTTAACCAAGACCTGAAACACGACCTGTAATTCCTCTAACAAGTTCCACCATTTTCACTTTCTCATTTTGCAGTTGAAGTTCCACAGCTCGATTCAAAGTGTCTCAAGGTAAAGTAAACATTGGAACAGCATCACCACACCTCAAGGAAGCTATACCAACCATCACCTTGCACTGAAAGCTTCCCCATTGCCAGATAGAACTTCAACTGAACAGGTATTTTAATGAACTTCTAACTCTTAGTATAGGCATCATTAGCTCTAGGTTTGTGAATAAGAAATGTTCTACTCATGCCACTGAACCTGTACATGCTTTTACTTTTCATTTCTTTTGCTTGAGCTGTGAGAATTTAAGGTTTGAAAATGGCAGAAAACTTAGGTCAAGATTTGGGAATGTCAAAATTCTCTCTCATTTCTGAGAGTTAGGAGGTGTTCTTTATATATTTGGAATCGTGATTCAATGCTTAACATTTTTTGTGTTGAAAGTTTGTGCAAAAGCTCAAAGAATCAGGACGTTTGAACTTGAGTACAGGCGCGCGCGTTTTGGAACATTTTGTCTGAAGGTTGAAGAAGAAGCCACATGGGTTGGGCCTGTGTGGTCTTTTCTTTTCACACCCTATTTCCACTTTCATACCCCCCAAGCCCATTTTGTGTATTTTTATGATTTTTTGATTTTTCCTTTTTCATTCTGACTCATTTATTTTTTCTTATCATATTAAAAACATAAAAAAATATTTTTTGCATCATTTTTATATTTTTTAGGAATTTATTTGATTATATTGATATTTATGTACAAATAAGTAAATAATATATTATTTAGAATAAATAGAGAAAAATAATGTAAACACACTTTATTTTCATTTTTATTTTGTTTTCTCTTCTTAAAATATTTTATACAAAACATACTTTTTTTTTTCTTCATAAATATTAATTATTATTATTATCTTATATATATGATATTTATTTAGTAAATAATAAATATATATATATATATATATATATATATATATATATATATATATATATATATATATATATATATATATATATATATATATATATATATATATATATATATATATATATATATATATATATATATATATATATATATATATATATATATATATATATACACTTAGGATAAAATACCAAAAACATACATATTCTTATTTTATTAATATTTAACACTAAAAATACATTTTTACAAATATACTTCATTTTTATTTTATTTTTTATATAAATAGTAAATATTATATATATATATATTAAATAATTAATACCCTTTTGATTAAAATTAGGGTTTTGTCCTAAATAGGTGAATACTCTAAAAATAATACTTTTTATTTTATTTTATTTATTTTACATAAATAATACTTTTTCATACATATAAAAATTCTTTTTACATCTTGCATATTTATTTCATTTCTATTTAATTATGCAATTATTTATCTTGTAAATATTCCCAAATTGATGTAATAGCTAGGTTTAATTTCTTTGTCTAAATATCCCCCCATTTGAACATTTGTACCCCCCTCCCACATTGTGTTGTAATAGTGTAGGAATTTTATTTTTCGCGCTTTAACGCTTTTTAAATATGCCATGCTAGAATTAGGGTTCGTATGCGAATAAAACGAACAAAATAGTTTTGACCTAATTTCAAGATAATCAAGCATGAAAATGGACAACACATCTCACACTTGCACCCCTAGGGTATTCCACTTTGTTGCCTTCAAATAATTGGGCCATATTGCATGTTAGGTTTCTTTGGGTAAAACAAACAATCAAATGATCATAGTCCCTCGATGACGCTTTCAAAAAGTTGCCTAAAAATGATCAAGTCCCTTTCAAAGAAAAATTGCCCAAAGACACTTAGCACTATTGCAATTATGGTATAAACGATGACCCGCGCCCGTCCCTTAAACCTCCTAATGCAAGATTGTCCACCAAATGCAATGGTGGAACAAAATTGTCAAAAGGGTTAAAAA